CTATTGGGGGGGGGGTGTGGGGGGGGGGGTGAACGGACGTGCAGATCTGCCCTCACAGAGGAGGGAGAGCTTGTACCTGAAGGTGGGCCAGGGGAGGGGCTCTGCAACTTATCTGGCTGCTTCTTGCTCCTCATGGCCTGACTGAGGGCTGCCGGGAGCAGGGAGCGGGCCTTGTTGCATGTACCCACCCCCTAGGCTCCTTACTGCCGGAGCTCCGCTCCAGTGCGCTCCCACAGGAAATGACCCCTGTTGATTTGCAGGACTTTTTTTTGCATATGTGTGAGAGGAACTGCTTTACATTGCAACTCACACAATGCAGTTAAGTTTTTTTTTAAAAAAAAATCTGGCCATCATTTCTGAGCTTTCCTCCCCTTACTCAACTTGCACCCGCTCTTCACAGTTAACGGGGCACACAAATGTTGTACAAATCAATCTATCAATTAATAAAAACCACACCCAGGTTTGGAATAGGTGCTTGAATCCAGATATGCAAGCTCTAGACACCAGTCCCGATAGATGGTTGGAATATAACCCAGCTTTGTCTACCTAGAAGGTTGCAATGTGTATTAACCTTTTCCCCACATGACACTTGACATTAAAAAAGACATAGGAGAAGCACTTCTCGAATTCTCTCTGCAGAATGTAATGGTCAGCAAATTTAGTCTACTTCTCTGTCTGTCTGCCACATGCCTACATGCAGGCATTGATTCCCCACAGTACAATCCCAAGCTTCTGGGAAACGTGTGAACACTGATTCGGAAGGACCCGCCCATGAATGGGGTTAAAGTTCACATGCATGCTCCCAGCAAGATCGGACTGCACTACAGGGAAACACCTTCCCATCAATGCTCCCTCTTAGCTGTGGAGTCTTGTGAGCAAAAACCCTACTTTGTGAGCTACCGGCATTAAAGTTGTGAGCGAGCCATTTGGCTACTGCATAAATTAGTTTGCTCTGGAGCCATCCTTCCTGAGCTAAGACAAAAATGTGTGAGCCGGAGGCTAAAAAACGGTGAGCTAGCTCACACTAACTCAGCTTAGAGGGAACACTGCTCCCCAAATAGGGTGCATGTGTCAAGGGGCCCTTCCGGGAATTGCTACTGAAAGTAGGCAAAGGTTAGCACTCCACATGCAATCCAGAGAGACCCATACATCTCAAAGGGTTTGTGCGGGAATCATGGCTGAATCACCCCGCCCACCGATTCGTAGATGGAAACAAAACCAAAACCAACACCCCATTATTACTCCACTGCACACTTGACCACACTGGTACGAACACACACTATGTGCCCCCGACTCGTTCCAGTGGACCGATAAAACACTGTAACTGTGAACGGCTATGGCAACGAGGTCTGGTGCAGCGATGTCCCGTCGGAGGGTCAGATTATGCTGCTAAATTTTGGGGGCAGGATGCATGAAGCACAGGTGGCAAGGGAAGCCGGCGAGTCAGATTTCTGTAGCGAAGCCGCGAAATATCTCCCCCCCCCCAAAAAAGCCCCCCCCCCAACCCCTACAAGAAAATTCAGGAGAAAAGACAGCATCGTTCCCTTCACAAACAACTGATCTTCCTTTTCTTTCTTCTCCTGGGGAAAAACACCACACATAGGTGGGTGTGCAAATTGGATGAGGATACAGGAGAGGTAATAATTGCTTAAAGGCAGGAATTCCTAAAGGACCGGGGAGAAATCAAACACCCCCTGAATGGCAAATAAATTGTTATGGACCTTAGCGACCCAACCACCAAACTTCTCACAGGGAAATACCCCCCAAACCCCCTCACACTATCCTTGTTATTAAAGATGCTTCAGAAGAAGAGGAGGAGGAGGAGATTGGATTTATACCCCGCCCTTCACTTGGAGTCTCAGAGCGGCTTACAAACTCCTTTCCCTTCCCCTCCCCACAACAGACACCCTGTGAGGTGGGTGGGGCTGAGAGAACTCTGACACAAACTGCTCTTTTTCAAGGACAGCTGTGCCAGAGCTTGTGACTGACCCAAGGTCACATCAGCAGGTGCAAGTGGAGGAGTGGGGAATCAAACCTGGTTCTCCCAGATTAGAGTCTGCACACTTAACCACTACATCACTGAGGAGATTGGATTTATACCCCGCCTTTCACTACCCAAAGAAGTCTCAGAGCGGCTTACAATCTCCTTTCCCTTCCCCCCACCCCCACAACAGACACCCTGTGAGGCAGATGGGGCTGAGAGAGCTGAGAGAGAAACTGCTCTTTAAAGGACAGCTCTGACAGAACTATGGCTTGCCCAAGGTCATCCAGCAGCTGCGAGTGGAGGAGTGGGGAATCAAACCCGGTTCTCTCAGATTAGAGTCCGCGCACTTAACCACTACACCAAACTAGCTCACATGATTTTTGAACTGAAAGGACAAAGGGATATTAATAAATACCTAATGTGACCTTGGCCAGAGTTTTGCCCTATCAGGAACAGTCTGATCCGTTGGTACAATACGCTAGCCCCGGTGGCAGGGCTACTACCTTCAGTTCTGGATGCGGATCCTTGTCACTTTCAAAGCTGTAGAGCTGAAGGCATGCTGAGCAAGTAGAGTTTATTGCGCCCTCACCTGCGTGGCCCCCACTGGTGCCTGGCACAAAATCCCAAGATGCTAAAATTCCTGTGGAAGAAGCATTAAGCTCCTTTGACACAGCTTAATAGTGCCAAATGGAAAGCTGCATCAATGATTCTCATGGATACTTCTGATGGGCAGTAGGTTCAGGGCAGACAAAAGGAAATACAACTTGATAGAGCGATTAAAACGGGGAATTTGCTGCCAGCGGATGTAGTGGTGGCCACAGGAAGAAACAGCTGTACAAGGGGATTAGATAGATTCATGGAGGAGAAGTCTGTCAATGGCTACTAGCCAGGGTGTCTGAGGGGAATGTCCATGTTCAGTCAACCTCTGAATCCCAAAGCCAGGAGGCAACATCAGGGGAAGGCCTCGGCCTCCATGCCCTGTTGTTGGCCAGCCAGAGGAACTGGTGGGCCACTGTGTGAGACAGGATGCTGGACTAGATGGACTATTGCTCTGATCAAGCAAGGCTCTTCTGATGTTCTTATCAGGGGAAGGCCTCAGCCTCCATGCCCTGCTGTTGGCCCTGCGGAGGAACCAGTTGGACATTGTGTGAGACAGGATGCTGGACTAGAGGGTCTATTTGTCTGATCCAGCAGGGCTCTTCTGATGTTCTTATCAGGGGAAGGCCTCAGCCTCCATGCCCTGCTGTTGGCCCTGCGGAGGAACTGGCTGGCCCCTGTGAGACCAGATGTTGGACTAGATGGACTACTGCTCTGATCCAGCAGGGCTCTTCTTGTATTCTTATGTACCATGTCTATTTTGTTTTTTTAAAGACCACCATTTTCCACCTCAACAGTCCAGATGCAGGACTGTGCCTTCAAACCCAACGGTTTTGGGAGAGAAGTGGCTGTTTTACAAACTGTGCCTCGGGAACGAGAGATGCTGGAATGATCTCTTCCTTGAGCTAAATTGCATACAAAAAAATAACAAAACAAAGCAGCAGACAATCAAGAGAGCCTGGTAGGTTGACAGGGAAGCCACGATGCGTGCAAGAACAAGTGGTTGTGCAGCAGTGGGGGGAAATCATGTGTTCTGGGACCTCCCTTGCGCTTTCCACTCCACACTGGCCAAATCAGCAAGAGCTATACAGACCTGTGTACGGCTACTGTTCACATCAACTGTGGAGGTAACTAACTCAGAGGAGGAGGGCCGCTGACTGGGATGTTCAAACAGTGCAAAACGGAGGGAGACTGGAACGTGCGGCGGCACCCCGACCCTTTGTGACACTGACCCCATCCAGAAGCAGAAGTGGCAAATGCACCATTAAATGGCTTCTTTGGAAGATGTGGCTTTAAACCAATAGCTGCTTTCGTGCTGAACTGGATGGATCTGGATAGCTTCCATGCCAGTGCTTACTTATTGAGAAAAATGCACAAGCCTGGCCGAGTTGCCACGAATGGCTTCAGCTCACAAGGGTCCCCCCCGTCCGTCCCGTCGTCCCCCCCCCGGCAACAGAAATGGCTCTAATGATGCTGGGGAATTACGCTTAAAAACAGACTTGCGTACAGCTTATGTGCTGCACGTCCTTCAGCCGGGATATCTGGGAACTGACTCCTCCCTGAGGCCGCTTTCATTTCTGGATGGTTTTGTTTGTTTTTAAAAATGGAAGATAATCTCTATAAAAAGCTTTTGATTTTATAGCTTCCAACTCATTTCACAACTGTGTTTTCAAAGCTTGGCTTTGCGGTAAAAGACGCCCCCGCCCACCCTTCTTTTCCCATTTTAGAAAAATGAACTCGACATATATTTTTTTATGTTCAATAATTTCATACAATTTCAGAATTAGACATTAAAAAAAAAACCTGGCGGTTCTGAGGAAGAGGAGGAGGAGGAGGAGGAAAGGAAACAAAAAGAAAAATAAATCAGACCTGACGTTACAGATTTCTAGCTTTATCGTCACAACAATCTAGGAAGCCTCTGAGCCAAATGCTACGAAACACGGAAGAGAAACCGCTGAACCTTCGACGTGAGCATGCTCAGTGTTTGTGCCGGCACAGAAAACGAGGAAGTGCAGAAGCGCAGGAATCAACGTCTCACGATGGCTGCTGTTTGAACATTCCCTTACACGAGGATGATGATTGGGGTTTGTTTTTTTTTAAGTATAAAATATAACTATGGGGGTTCTCTTGTTTTTTATTTTTTAACTTTTTCTTCTTCCCCTCTGGATAGTGGATGCAGGACTTCAGCGTTTATTATGATTGCTCCCTTCCCTCAATGATCGCTCCCCCGTCCATGCGCTTGTGGGGCACAGGGTGCCGATTCTGCTGTTTCCAGTTCCGAAAGGCCCCGCCCCGCCAAGCAGCAACAGTTCTTCAGATTTGTGTGACGATCCCCTCCCTCCCCACCCACCCCCATGATTTCTTCTGAGCACGCCCAGTAGGAATGGTTCGCAATTATATATCCTCCTAAAGGGGGGGGGGGGAGAAAGGGGATCTCTCACCGATCCCGCTCCCCAGCTCCACGGTCCTTCTTGTAGGCTGGAACATGTAGGCAGGTGTATGGGTACTTGGGTGGGGATGTGTGTGCGTGTTTGTGTGTGTGTGTGTGTCAGTGAGAGAGAGAGACAGATAAAGAAAGAGAGCTCGCATGTGTGTGAGTGTACACACCATGGCATGTAGTTGAGTGTGTAGCTCTACGGCAAGAGGGAGGACCCCGTTCTGCAGCCAGCCCCCCCCTCCCCACACCCTGCTTTGCTTTCTTCTCCGGTGGCCCTGGCAAAGGGACCGCCGGCATCACTCTTCCACGGAGAGACTGGTGTGTCTGCTGTTACTTCTAGGAGGGCAATTTAAATACTCAGTTATTCTCTTTTTGCGCAGAGTGAACCGGCTCCCGCGTCATAGGATGATGCAACATCTGCAGAAGCGCTGTCTGCTGCCCCCCACGGATGGCGGTGGGGTCACGGGGGCGAAGTAGGCGTGGACTTTAATATTGGGTAAGTGAGTCTGAAAAGACAAACACAAGGGGCGTTTTGTTGTTGTTGTTTAGGAAACCATCCAGACAAGCTGAAATGATAAGCACCAAAGAGTTGGACGAGCGTAGAGGAGAGCTGGGAGACAGAAAATGATTGCCTCCCCCCACTATTTCCATGAGAAGAAGAAGAGGAGATTGGATTTATACCCCGCCCTTCACTTGGGAGTCTCAGAGCAGCTTACAAACTCCTTTCCCTTCCCCTCCCCACAACAGACACCCTGTGAGGTAGGTGGGGCTGAGAGAACTCTGACACAAACGGCTCTTTTTCAAGGACAGCTGTGCCAGAGCTTGTGACTGACCCAAGGTCACATCAGCAGGTGCGAGTGGAGGAGTGGGGAATCAAACCCGGTTCTCCCAGATTAGAGTCCACACACTTAACCACTACACCAAGCATGAGGCTTCTTGCCCCAATTTGGGGGGACGACACGCAAGGCACGTGAGTTTCTGGTTGCTTCTGCACAGAGATGATTCTCTGTGTAGCTCTCATTCCTGTTGTGAATGCAGAGACATGCAAAGTAGGAACAAAGTGTACACACGACAGATTTTCCCTCACTGTCCCTAACAGCCTCTGAAGCAAACATCCTCCCTCCTCAACTGTAGGATTAAAAGAAACTACAATGGAAATTGCTAGATGGGTACTGCGCTGTCATGTAACGATCTACTACCACATAATAATTTCCAATGTTCAGGTTTTTTAAAAAAGGAATGTATCTGGATTTGTTTACTGCAGAAATACAAGGTGAAATGTGCAGCCTGCATCTTTCCCCTTATAACTGCGCAATGAAAAGGGCTACACCTTAGTGGATTGTGGCAATAGCTCATTATGACATAGTTGTAATAGCAATTAGAGCAATTCACAACTTTTAATGAAAAAAACCCTATAAAACTGCCCTACAGCACAGGGGGATGTCAGCTGCAAGGGCTGACAACAAAGACAATGGTGGTGATGTGGGCAGGACCTGGAAAATTACACACCTTCCCACCCACATGGCATCCAAAGGTGGAGGGGTGCTGTAATTCTCCCTGAATTTTGCAACCTTGTCAGTCTTCGAATGTATCAGGAGACATGGCACCCTTTATGCATGCACAACAGCATTAACTGCTTCCAAAAGGAGCAACGATGGAAGCCCTGCAGGTATTCTTCTTCTTCTTCTATTCCCCATCCCTGCAGGTGAGTCTCCATGGCCCAGCTGAGGGTCCCTACCCATGGACTGAAGACCACCGACCTAGTCAGTTGCTTTCTAAGAGGGCAGTTGAAAGTGCAAGGAACGATAACAAAACCCGCATTTTTTTAATACACAGAATTTTACCCTGAGTCTCTTGATTCCTGCCCGTGTGATCTGTTGACAGTCATACAATTCTATCCTCTCCAGGCTGTGGCAGCTCTTGAGATGTTCCAAGGAGGCGTCGGTGATCAGAGGGCAGTTGTCCAGCTCGATTACCTCCAGGCGGTCGTGAGCGCAGGCACCGTTGCCCAAGTGGCGAATCCCGTCGTCGGTGATCAGCTCGCAGTGGGATAAACTCTGCCGCCGCAAAAAGAAAACCGACAACCAGATCAGGAAGGGGAATCAGCTAGCGGCATGTACAAAGCCCCTTTCACACCGTTTGCAAGGCGATGGGGGCTGTTCCCACCAAGCAGGGTGGAGCGAAAAAACCCAACTAAAGGAATCTCCAGCTGTCGTGTCCCTTCCAGATTTTTTCTCCAACAACCTTTGCAAATGTCGGGTTACTCGATTTCAGGGACTCTGGATGCCGAGCAGATGGCACAGAGACAGGCTTCTCTGCCAACGGGTTCCCCACTACTTCCTTCTCTGAACCCCAAGCTTCAAGAGGTGTTCCCCCTCTCTGAGCAGAGACCAGGCTGGGAAGGAGGAAGCAGGCCCATGGCTTACCAGGCTCACCTCAGCCACCGCTTAAGAAATGCTAAGGAGTCTAGTGAGAGACAATGTGAGGGCCAAGCCCCCCCCCCATCCAAGCAGGGAACGTAGATTTGGAGGACACGAGGGTAGCAAGGCTCCAGGGATACTCTCCAGGAAGAAGCTCCGGGAAGTGCCTCTTTGACCTGGCCTGGGCGGGTCAGTGGGAGGGGAAGCAGATATGATAACACTCAGGAAGGCAAGGAGGAAGCTCTCTTTTTCTTGGGTGTTGAGGCTATGAGTGCACGGAGACCTCTCCTCTGGGAAGGCTGCCATTTTTGACCATGTGTTCGGCCAGAGAGCTACAGACAGCTGTAAGGTAGTGCATGTACAGAGAGAGGGACAGAGGACTTGTGTTTTAACAATTTAGTTTGTTGCCTTTGCTCAGGTCTGGTGCTGTGCTAAAAGTATGCTTGTAAACATTGCTTGTACTAGGGTAGCAAGGCTCCAGGGATACTCTCCAGGAAGAAGCTCCGGGAAGTGCCTCTTTGACCTGGCCTGGGCGGGTCAGTGGGAGGGGAAGCAGATATGATAACACTCAGGAAGGCAAGGAGGAAGCTCTCTGTCTTGGGTGTTGAGGCCATGAGTGCACGGAGACCTCCCCTCTGGGAAGGCTGCCATTTTTGACCATGTGCTCAGTCAGAGAGCTACAGACAGCTGTAAGGTAGTGCATGTACAGAGAGAGGGACAGAGGACTTGTGTTTTAACAATTTAGTTTGTTGCCTTTGCTCAGATCTGGTGCTGTGCTAAAAGTACGCTTGTAAACATTTTCTTTTTAATACTTTATAACTTCAAATGCTGGGAGTAGTTCTCTGTACCACATAAGACCTCCACTGTCTTGGACACGCTGTTTTAAAAGGAGCACCAGGGGGAAGGCAGGCAGTTGGCAGGTGGCTACTCCTCCAGTGGGCAGCGGGAGACACAGAGGAAAGGAAGGTGGGAGTTCTGACCCACCCAGTGGGCAGTTCCTTACAAAGGTCAGGTGGCGGCAGCACTTGAGTGAGAGAGAGAGAGAGAGAGAGAGAGAAAGAGAGAGAGACAGAGACAGAGACAGGGGGGGGCGCCTCTCCAGGGAACTGGGAATCCCTATGAGGGCAGGGTGGAATAGGGCCTGCAGGCTAGAGCAGGCCCATTCGGCTGCACAGAGTTTTACATGTGTACAGTGCATTTCACATGCACCGTTATATTGAAAATCTTTACAACAAACTGGTAAGAGAGATCAATAGCCTTCTATCCACACTGCAGACCATGGTGGTGGTGGGGGGGGCGGTAAAGCCAAGGAATGGTAGTTTGCACAAGTCTACCTACTGATGTTACGGTTGGGGGAAGATTTGATCTGGGAGCCCTCGGTGAAGAGGATGGACCACAACTACACTGCACCTGATTTTAAACAGACCCTGCTTAACAAAGCTGCTGCAACTTTCACACCCCCACTCAGCTCCTACCCGACAGGAAAACCTACCTCACAGGACTGGTATGAAGGAGGGCAAAGCCAAGATTGAGGCGGAGGGAATCTTCACACATCAAAAGTGCAACTGGTGTGCATTATTTAGGTATGCTGATTTACAGCATAGGAACCACCTCATTTTTCTTCTCCAACCTTTCAAGCTCCTTAAAAATCCAATCGACAGAACTGTTAAAACATAACCATGGTGTGCAAGGAAGCCCCTTCAAGACTCACCAAAACCTGGAGCCGTGGACAGTGTATCGAGAGCTGGATTAACGTGCTGTCTGTTATCTGGAAAGGACAAGAACAACAAGGACAGGTTTGAGGACGACAGCCCCTGGCCCAGGGAAGATCCCAAAAGAGAGCACTTTTGTGTAATATTTTCTGAAGCAAGAGGGCACAGTCTCTGGAACACAGATCAGTTACGTTTTACCTGTTAAATGATCCTGGCAATACACTATTGCTTTACAAAAACAGGTTGCTTACCTGTAACTGGTGATCTTCGAGTGGTAATCTGTGCAGTCACACCCATGGGATTATGCACCTGTGCTGATCCGTACAGGTGGTATGCAAAGCTCACAAAGGGATTTTCACGCCTCTCCTCCAGGCATGCGCGGGAACCCCACTGCGCATGCCCAAGAGGAGGGGCACAGACATCCCGCCAGTTCCTTCTGACCGCTGTCATGTCAATAACCAGAGAAGAGTACTGAAGCGACAGCAGCGGGGAAGGAGGACGGGTGGTGTGACGGCACAGATGACCACTCGAAGATCACCAGTTACAGGTAAGCAACCTGTTTATCTTCTTCGTGGTCTCTGTGCATCACACCCATGGGAGACTGAAAAGCAGTGGCTCACCTGGAGGTGGGAGCTGTCACAAATTCAATGCTCTGCCGACGAAAGGACTAGATGACCAAGGTCCACTCTGTGGCGTTCAAGAACTTCAACAGCGTAGTGCTTGATGAAGGTGTTCGGAGTAGACCATGTCACGGCCCCACAGATCGCCGACAGGGAAGCACCCTTTAAGAAGGCTGTAGACGCGGCCATGGATCTTGTAGAGTGCGCTCGTACAGGCACGGGCAGCGGGCGTTTAGCCAACTGGTAGCACAGCTTAATTGTCTCAACAATCCATTTGGAGAGACGTTGTGCTGAGATTTTAAGCCCTGCAGAATGACTGGAGTAGGAGACCTGCGATGTGTGAGGCAATGGGAAAGATGTGCAGAGGCATGCACCAGGCCCAAAGGTCCAGAGCCAGGAGACAGAGACTGCGGGAGACCATTCCACCCTGCCTGTTGACGTAACTGAGGGTTGTCGTATTGTCGGTTAAGACAGTTACGCATTGTCCTGCGAGCAGAGGCTGGAAACATTGAAGGGCCAATTTTATTGCCAACAGTTCCAGAAAGTTTATGTGTCTTCTTGAGGATACAGCATCCCACCTGTGACCTACGGAGAGGCCGTTGAGGTGGGCTCCCCAGCCCCACAGTGAAGTGTCGGTTGTGAGGGTGAGAGTAGGAGTGGGAGGACGGAA